AAGGAAATTACATAAACATAGCATACAACATATTAAAAGATCAAACAACCACCAAACCAAACAAACAAAAATCTAAGAAGAGTATGTCCCCCTGACGTCATGCTGCCCGTAATGCTCTGCCCTGTCCTTCATGTCCCGGGCCTTCGCCGCCAGCTTGGTCCGGGCAGAGTCCAGCTGGTCCGACCCGACCGGGTGCCTCCCCGTCACGTACCTGTATATCCACGTCAGCACGCTCAGCGCCGCCACCCCAAACCCGCCGGACGCCAGGAAACCTAACCCGAGCACCGCCGCCGTGATGACGGCCGGCACCAGCACCGGGCTGAAGATCACCAGAAGCGGCGTGGCGAGTGTGAGGCCCACCACCGTGGCCGCCAGGGTCAGCCCAGACAGGAGGAGGAGGGACCCGCCGGCGGTGGCGGCGGTGGCTGCCTTCACCAAGCGGTGGCTGACCGGCAGCTGCTTGTTGCGTCGGTCCCACGCGCCCTGCGGGTGCTGCTGCTGCTGGTGCTGTGCGTACGGTGTGTAGTGCTCGGCCATTTTTTTATTTGTTTTTTTTTATTTGTGAGAAATTTTGTGAGGAAATTAATATTGTGGATGAATTTTGAATAAAGGTAAAGGGTATATAAATAAGGAAAGCGGGGGAAGGGGTACGTGTCGGAGAGGTTAGCATGCAAAGGGTGCATGCAAAAGTGGGGTGCTAGTTTTAGGACACGTGTGTTTTGGAAATAATCGTGTCTAGCCACCTGGAAAAATTAGGAAAAGGGTAAAAAGAAGGACAATGAATGTAACATATTCCATTTTCATATTTGATTTGGAGTTTAAGTATGAAATTGTGTTTGACAAGCATATAAGTTAGTTTATAATTTACTAGTGCGTAACTCGTGCGATGTACAGACTGCATAAATATGGAGAATAATATAAGAGCGCATTTGTTAAAGGAGATGAGATAAGATTGCAGCACTTATCCAGGCTAAAATAGTTGTTTGTTTACCTAGATTAAGGCCCGTCCGATTTCTTTCGGCCCGCGACTCAATCTCCACTTATCTTGCTGTGCGGCGATAATTTGATCCGAGGGGGGAGGGTCTGATTCAAAAAGTCTTAACAGTAATTTTTTGGTCAAATGACATTAGTGACCCAGTTTTTTGATTTTCAAACTCTTCTACCCCTTATTTGTACTACAATTTACACCATATGCCAAACTCCATTATTGTAATCTACCTACCACCCTTGCTTTTGCAGAGTTTTCCCCGTGTTCATTCTGTCATTAGGTTGAGCTCCATTTTAGGTGAGATTGGTTTTTTCCTAGATATATCCTTATTTAAAAAATGGTTCATCGATTTTGGCGTGTAGAAGGTTTGATTAATACGCGTGTGGTCAATGGGAGGGTATTGGTTTCTTTTCTCAGATGTAGCTTAAACTTTTTTTTTTTTTTTTTTT